TGCATCAATTTTCTAGAAATATAGTAAATCTATCTATGCCTTCGAGAAATATCAAGTTTTTTCAATTTCAACTTAAGTTGGGTAAACGCAAAATTTCACTTCTTACAGGCTGTCGACCGGTTCGGGTTTCAGGGTAAAAACCTTCAAGCCACTAAAGTCACATCAGATGGACGTATCTCACCATGACCGACAGAGTCTACGGAAACAAGCCACGAACGATCGAACAGTTGAAACTCAATATTGAACAGGACGTTCAAAGAATCAACCCAGAAACCCGGGGTTATTTAAAATTTCTAGTGGCATATTGAAGCTTGTATGGGGAGAAATGGTCAGCACCTGGAGATTTACTTAAATAACCATTCCCACCCTGGGTTTGTTTGGCAATATTATAATTTGAGAATGAATTTGTTCTTAAATGCACAAACAGTAACTATTTGAAAAAGAACAGTATGTACGATTTTTAGAAAGTTGCAAAGTGTGGCGTTTCGCTCAATTTGGTTGAAATTTAAAAACCTGACAGTTTTCTCACATGTGGGTTGATTTTCTTTTCATTTAGGCAGTTGTACTGTTCCCCTGGTTGAATCGTATTTCTTGAAAGGTTTGTTGAAATTGGTCTAAAGATCACCGATGGGTCCTCTTCTTTTAAACACCCGGAAGCGTCTCTGGAGTGGTGGTTAGGTTTTCCGCTCTTAACACACAGAAGAACTGAATTCGATTCCTGAGAGGAGATTATATTTATTGAATAACTCGTTCTTTTTTCAGAGATGTTGTATCCCTCTCAGTCCAGGTAGGCCCTAATAGGCAGAGTCGAAGCCCGCCTCCTAAAAGATATAAAAATTGTGTCGATGGGAATAGAGAAAGACGAACCGATATGTGTTGAGTAATTGCGAGGCTCTTCGACATTGCAAGTAAAAAAGAACAGATTAATTCGCGCATGAGGAAACCTGTTTAATAATGCATTGTGCTGGGCTGTTGTATCTCAGTCAGTCGGGGTTGGCTCTGACAGACAGGGTCGAAGCATCCCACCTCCTAAATGGACTATGTCAGTGAAGGTGTAAAATGTGTACAATTAACCCCTTCACTGCCTTGCCAAGACTGTATTGGACCCTTTGGTAAGATTGTGGTGCAGGTCTGGCGGTGAGAAGGTTAATAAGAAGATCAAAATAACAAAATGTACACCACTTCTATGATATTACGTCAAAGCAAAAGTGACATACAGTCCTTCACCATGTATTCTTCTTCTTCAGGTGTCATGTCCGAAGCAGACATTGACGATCATGGTACCCCATTCCTTCCTGTTGTCTGTCTTTTGGATCAGCTCGTTTGTTTGTTTTTCGGATTATTTTTTGGGGGGCAGGGGTTGTCTTTATGTTATTCGTTGCAAAGTTGTTCAGGCTATCTGTGCATGTTGTTCTTAGTCTTCCTCTGCTCTTGTTTCCCCCTATCATTCCACCAGCAGCAGTTTGTCTAGTATATTTGATCTATTTACGTGACCAAAATATATCAATTGTCTTTTTCTGATGACTCTGATTACAGAAATTTCACAACCTGCCATTTATAGCACTTCTCTATTTGTTTTCCTCTCTGCTCATGAGATTCTCAGTGTTCTCCACTTTTCAGCGGCCTCCAGTCTTCTCTCTGTGTCTTTTTTTCAGAGTCCAGCTCTTGCATCCAGAGAGAAAATGGTAAAACATTTTGTGATAGTTATTTTGTTTGGCTGTTTCTGTATGAAGAGTAAATTTCCATACACCATCTTTGACTCAAAATGTATTCCTTCTTTTATTCACTAATTTATTTATTTTTCAAATGATGTTCCTATGCGTATTTGCTCAAATGGTTCACAACCATTGACCCGTCTTTACAGCTAATGAATACACCTAGATCTATGACCTCACCTCATTGAAGATATTGGGCTGCAACTTTTCCATAATGAATTCTTGTTGCTTCCAGTTGAGCCCGCCAGCGATGAGCTCGATCTTGAGCGAGTCGGCTTTGATGAAGTTTGGGTCACGGTCCGAGTTGACGTTTGTATAGAACATTGCTTTGTACAGCTCCATCTTCCTCTCCACGTCCAGCAAGTCGCAGATCTCCAGTAGATGTTTGCTTAAAGGACTAGAAGTAGAAGGGGGTACACCGTTTATGAAATGAAAATAACGTATACGGAGGTATTATCTGACTGGGCTAAAAAAATATTTTAAAAAAGGAAGGGGGTAATATCGGTGGCCAAATGAAAATATTTTATTGCGGTCTAATATTTTAAATCTGTGGGAGAAGTACAGTAATGTTTGACTTGACTGAGGCCCCCATTTATTGTGTTTAAAAGTAGCAACTGAGAATACACACTTTTACTGAAACCGTAAAAAGTATCGTGTTCACATGACTACCTAGCCTTCAATTGGGATCAACGAAGAACACCCTCCAACAGACGCACTTTTATAATAAAGTAAAAAATTACACTTCCGGTCAGTGGGAGAAACATTGGAGTAAACAATTAAACAATAAACTCCCCAATGTCATGCCCAAACTGGGCCCATGAAAACCTTCGGGACTCCCCAGAAGAGACGAAGTTAATTTTACTCGATTGCGCAACGGACACATTACAAGTACCTCCTGAAGGGAGATGAGAAACACTTCCTTGTTGGATGCGATCCCAAACAGATTCTAGATTTTATAAAGGCCATTGGCCTTAGCAATAAAGTGTTGATATTGTTATTTTAATTATTGCAAATTGTTGTTTTTAAGTCCAAAATTTTTGCTATAGAAATATTAACCTTTTAACCTGACCATTAAACAAAATCAAGCCATGCCGTGAACTGTTGTGAATGCAACCAAATGCTGTTTCGCGTGTTCATATGATCTTATATAGTTGACAACGCCTTAAAACTCATACTAAACTAACTTAATACCGGTATTCAAAATCTACTCACTCCATTTGGGTCACTCTCTCACACAGGGCCGAGATGACGGCGAACATTCGGAACGTCACTTGTGTCGCGTCATCGATTTTGAGCACCTGAAAGGGCAAAGGTCATAGATCAAACACCTTTTTCCCCTTTCCATATTGAAAACAATAACTGCGACTGATCAACCTTCCATAAAACAAGCACACACACACACACACACACA